GCTAGACTTGTTGACATACCTGAAACAAAGATATATTTTATTATAATTATTATTTAAAATAAAATTTTACAAAAAGTTTACAAAAGTTTACAAAAGTTTACAAAAGTTTACAAAAGTTTACAAAAATTTAACAAAAATTTAACAAAAATTTAACAAAAATTTAACAAAAATTTAACAAAACTTTTACAAAACTGTTACAAAAATACAAAAGATATGACGTGGTTGAATAAAATTTATATTTTTCTATCAACTAGAATAATAAATGTTACATTTCAAAATTGAATCTACCAATACCAATTTTTTAGAAACTTTTAACAATCAATTTGTTTGATAAATTATTTTTTTTATACCTGCAGAGGGAAATTTTAATATACTTTCATTGACTCAAAATAGATGTTGTCACGAAGATGCATATGCCTAATGCAATGGACTATAAAAGAGCATCGGTATTTTCAATTTTATTTACGTCGAAACAATTAATAATGGTGTTTATTTTTAAAAGAAAACATTGATCTATCCTTTTAGGCAAACATTTAGAAGAAAATTAGGTTTGAAAAACCATTTTTGATAAAATCTCTTGCCTAAATTTACCCCCATTGAATAACTACACATTATTTTTGTTCTAAATATTAAATCTTATTTAACGTTTGTATATGTTTTTAAATTAGCGGAATCTGCTTTCGAAAATCCAGGATATATGTTAAATACCTACTTACAAACGATTCTAAAATAGAAATATAATGAAAAATGTATCAAATAATGTTAGTTTCAAACTGAAATGTGTATAAAGTTTCTAAAATTCGGTTTATCCGGCAATATAATGATGTTGCAATTATATTAAATGTACGTGGTACCGCCTAAATGCAATCAAGCAGTTTAGGTTTGTAACCAATTTTACTGCCTGTCGAAGTAAAAAAAAACCTTGGAATTAAACGCAATTAAACTCTCGCCTTAAACGCATTTGAAATGTTTTGAGAGATTCTGGGAAAAATGCTTCTTCTTGTGCTTTCACAGTGGTTACAAAAGGATTTTGACGAATTTATTTTACGAGAGCAATGTCTTAATTTTTATTAGATACCTTATCTACACGTTGTCTGAAAGGTCTTCGCATTCTCTGTTCTTCTTGCCAGGTTTCTTGATGTAAAATATGCAACTTTTATTGACTTTTCATTTAGAAACCACTTCACTTAAAGATCAATTTTCTTAAAAGTTTGCTATCACCCTCTACTCTTGAGCCTTAGTTAAATGTTGGGGTATTTTTGAAAATTTATTTAACAATAATTTTTAAGATCTTTTAAATTTGAATGGTGAATCACACTATTAAATTTTGGCGTTCACATTTATTGTTTACTAAAGATTATTTCTAAACGCAAAACGTAATATCAGACATGAGATTATATTTTTTAGCAAATATATACAATAGTTCTATACTCGTATCCAAACTGCAACTTTTGTATCAGATATCTTCCGATTTCCTTCATTTCCGGCCGTAAGCTTTATCACAATCTAAAATAAATACAAATTGCAAAAGGAAATAATAAGCACTTAGCTGCTTTTATCTTGGTGCGGGACTAAAGTGGCCGACATTTATCTGAAATCAGCAATTTTCTTTCATTCAACTTCGCCCAATACTCTTAATTTCATTTCATTCAAAATCACTTTCTCCCCTACTTATATCGCTCCGGGTGTGGGTAAAGCGCCTGATTCGCACATTCTTTTATATATTAGGAAGTTTTTGTTCGCGCCCATAAATTCTATTCTAAAACACATAATCAACACGTGTTGGTAATCATTTCGTGTGGTTTCATATGCGTCTATTCTAACTGCAGTCGAGGTGACGCATTTTAATAATGGAAGACATTTTGTTTAAGGGACGCTTCTTGAATTCTATCTATGAAATATTTTATTTTCTTCGGGGTGGTTTTTACAATTTTCTGTAAAATACTAACTTTGATAGTTACATCATTAAATCAACTCGGGCAGTAATTAATTGTTTTGTGTTCGGACTATTTTTCGTTTTGTTCGTTATTAACCTTTCTTTTAATTTCTAATGAAAATATGAAACTAAGGTATACCTTTAGCCTGATTTAAGGTAAAATAGCTATAGGGCATAACATAAAATTAGTATTAGTTTAGAAATAAATTTAGGGGTTATTTGAAACAAATTGAATATTTCAACTAACTCCAAAAGAAATGAACAACAATAATACATATTTTACTTACAGAATTGAGACACGCAGGACAAAGTCAGGAGAACTTAAAACATCAGCTATAGCAGTTAGTGCCAAATGAAATGCTATACCACCTATGTTATTATTTCCAAGAGATTTAAATTGCAAGAGAGCGCACATCATTCGAAAAAAAAAATAGGCAAAGTATAATTTCTATTACGAAAATAGCAGAGCGCAAACTGGTCAATTTCAGATAAGAGAGCAAAATGGTCGAGTGCAAACCGGCCATATCCAAAAGATTCATATGAATTTAATGTCATTTAAAGGGACTACGCAAATTAGATAGTTAATAGCATTTTGAATGTATTAGCTTTAGGTACGTAAAACGTATTAACTTGACGGAATTAAATATAAGATTGTTAAGAATTTCAATTAAAATTTATTCAAAACAGTCGACAATTGATCAGAGTTACTGAAAAATTTTATAAACTCTGCTTCTTCTCTATTTATGATATTTTAGTGCTTTATTTATACCAAAATATCTGTGTTCTATGTACATTTTTACAAACAAAACAAAATTGATCACTGGGATGCAATTCGGATGGTGGTGGGATGCAATTAGGATAGTAAAAAAGTTCCTGCTCTGCCTTGAATGTAATTTGGAAACAGTCGTCTAGTAAATGTATGAAGGTTTAAATCAGTTAAATACTCATTGAAGTATTTAGAGAACAATGATAAATGGTTAATTGCATATAGACCGCTGAGGTTAGAGATTGGATTAGTCATTCTAGAAAATAGCTGTGCCAAAGAAAATAAAAAAGTTTTTGAGTCTCAAATATTCAAGACTATGCCTTCTTTCTAATCTCTATAATATTTAGGTCTGAGCTTTAATTGCAGTTAGTAGTTTATGAAAATAAGAATTTCTAAATTTTGTTAATAAGTCAATGTTACTTGTTATATAAAATGGTAATTTGTGGTACCATTTGGACAGATCCTATTTTCAAACTTGGGTACATAAAGTTCCTAAGCTTTATACACTTTTTAAAATTATATCCAATAATTATTTTACCCGCTAAATAATGTAGCAATTAAAACTCTGTAAAATTTTAAAATTCCAGTTAAAAATGTTATTTTATTTGTGTGACATCCTGTATAAATAGTATATTAATCAATTATCGCCGCACTCAATATTCCAAAGAAAGGGAAATTTCGTGAAGTGGGAGTACAGAAAATCAAACGATTTCGCCATTAGATTTTAAATTGTCATTTATCATTATTATCTCCTATTATCTGGTTGTGTTTTGCTGTACCAGTGGTGAGTAAAAAAAAAGAAAATATAAAGTCATTGTAAAAATATCTCGGTAGAAATAATATTTCAACCAGTTAGTTATAATTTTAAATTTTTCTAAATATGTTTTTATAATTCATTCTGGTTGTTGGAATTTCACAATGTTTATAGTAATTAGTTTTTATTGTATCTTGATTTAATTTTAAAAAGTAGATGTTTCAAATTCAATTTATATCTCAT